AAACCGTTTAGTGCACAAGAGTACAAAAATCAAAGAAAATTAAATGGAAATAACTATAACCGGGTGGTCTGTACCAGTCTGCGTGGCTAAAACAGGCAAACGAGGGTTTCGTTGATTTATTCCAGGATTTGGTTTGATCTGTACTTACTCTTTTCCAGTAAAATTCTATATCAGCTAACATTGCTAATCATCACAACCTCTTTGACTGACTAATATCTTTCTTTACGTAACCTTGATAATACTTATCCAATGACATCACCCACCATGAGAGAGAGAACGCAGTTACCTAGGGCCAAAGACAGCTAGAATTCTTATATCTTTTATTTTCCTGGCTATATCTCACATCCATAAACACGTCCCTTGATAGATGACTAGCCAGTTATCTCGTCTTCACCTGTAATGGAATAAGTTGGTGGATACTACGCAAACCTTCTGTATTCGTGCCGAGATTTTGTTAGTTATCATCTCGTTAGCACTGATACAGCTTCTCGAATAAGTGAAGAAGTCAACACGCTCGACCACCTAACTCCTGCCTGCCTTCAACGTAAGACTTGGGTAATCCAGTCCTGCAGCACTATTTGAAACATTTGAAATGAGCAAATTTCCTAACAAACATTCAAAAACTGTTTTTCAAAGTGTTCAGAGGACTCTGCATTTGATCAGAGTCTTCAGTCGGCAAGTCGCTGAAGCCAGTTAGAGCCAAAGAATACAGAAATGGATGAAGACGAAGAGACACAGGGAATTCTCCAAACAAGTATACAGAAACTCAACAAAAAACACATGGACCAAATACTCAACCATAACAGTAATAAACCAATAACTCATAAAAGAAACTTTGTGCGAACATTATTTACATAAGGTTGAAACACACACTGTAGGACTCCAGTGCTGAAGAAAATAGAACAGAAATATCTACTGTCTTCAGGAACTCAAATCAAAATACCAACAAGAAACCATCTCCAATGACTACAAGAAAATTCATCCTCACCCGCAGACAAATGATGCCAGCAACTTTAAAACCCAACAGTTTCAATTGCGAAAAATAATACAATTTACTAAATGCCATGTAATGACTGTGACGTCAATTACACCCGTCCATTCAACAGATCGGGGTTACCTTCCCTAAAGCTTTTCTGTTGCGAGTAATATGTAAATACTATACACAGTTTTTTTATTCCTTCACGTTCCCAATGGAACACAGGGCCCGAAGCTAGAGGCTTGAAGTTTCAGCAGCAGTGGTGTTTATTTTTACGATATGGAGCTGCTAGCTTAATGACCTATTTTTCCTCTTTACCACTCGTATTACTTGCTTAGCGATGTAAAGGAATGCGTCGGCAGGGGTTTGAACCCCGAACCACTCGGCGAGCATTCCACTGCTGTGCCACCAACGCACAGAATACACAGTGTTGATTAGTAAATAATTACTGTGTTACAACTTATTGTTATTGTTCCCTTGGATTCCTAGTGGAACATAGGGCTTCAAATGCACGTCTCCACTTGCTTCTGTCTTGTGCTGTACTTTTCACTTGCATCCATGTTAGTCCATACTGTTTCAGTTCCTCTTCACACGATCTCCTCCATGTCACCCTTGGACGTCCCACTCACTGCTTCCCTTTCGGGCTCCACTAGAGCAGTGGCCTGACTCGCGATGTCACCCAGCGACCTCCTCAGCGAGTGTCCAATCCATCTCCACTTTCTCCTGCATATTTGTTGAACGATTGGTTCTTGTTTTGTTTGTTCCAGAAGTTTCTTGTTGGTGATTCTTTCCGGCGGCCATCTGATCTTCAGTATAGAGCCAGCGAAGACAGCTGTTGATAGAAGTCTGCAGCCTGTTGGAAATATTCTCTGTGACATGCCAAGTTTCTGATCCGTATTGAAAATCCGAATTTTGTTGTTGACACTGAGTGACGAATATTTCCAGATTGCTTTCAGGTTGATGAATGTGTTTCTCGCCTTCCCGATTCTCGATATGACATCCTCGTCCGTTCCTCCTGTAGTTGAGACAATACTTCCTAGATAAGTGAATGAAGTAACCTCTTTCAAATCCCTCCCGTTGATTGTGATTGGCACTGGATGTTGCTGTGTTACAACTGTGTCACAACTACTAAACGAAATACTCAATAGAAGAAAACATCTCTGTAAATGACGTAATTACAAATGTGTTTTTCTCGACTGTAATAACCACAAAATAAAAGCAGCATTAGTGATAATTTGTCTATCTCAATTATAAAATACAACATTAGAGTATTATCTCGTACACGTCAGAGGTACAAAAGGGTATGTCTAACTCTGCTGTATATTATCAACAAGAACACGAAAGCAATTAATTACATTATTGCATTGATGAAATTTTTGATAAAAAAGGATAATTCCATGAATAGAGAAACACAGAAGTACATAGTCGGGTTGATATGAGCACAATTCAGTCAGTCTACCTACTGTTTTGTTCATGAAAGATGCAGTACGCTGTCAGTGTGTATAGATCTCTGAGTAGATAACACTGTAGTGCTGTATGGCCTTTAGACATCTGAAATACAGTCAGACATTCAAGTTAACGATGGCGTAATCAATTAGTTATATGATATTGTCTTATTAGATAGTTGGAGGCAATCGGCAGGAAGGAAGCGGCTGACCTAGGTTCCGTGCTAGTTAGCACTCATCAGCAAGGATTATCTGCAACCTTGAAGGTACTGATGTCCCTTCTGAGATTCGAACCCGCGTCAACCAGTGTGAGCTGCAGTCAGAGACGTTACCACTGAGCTATTCGGGATGGCGATTGACCTCCTGTAGGACTGTATTGGATATTTTTGATTGGACACTAGTCAGTAACTAGTGTGACGTGTCTAGTCCTTTCTTTCGTGCAGACTGAATTTTATCAGTCAGGTTTTGCAATGTGGCCACCTTTTTCAGGTAGCTCGCTATCACGGTGCACATTGATTTGATGATAGTGGATAGTTGGAGGCAATCGCCAAGAGGAAGCCGCAACCTAGGTTTCGTGCTAGTTGGTATTCACCAGTCAGCAAGGCATATCTGAAATCTTGAAGGAACCTATGTCCCTTCTGAGATTTAGCCCGCGTCACCCATGAGGAACTGATGATATTGGCTTATATATATAGACTTTCATTAAAACTGCGGTAATCACTATTACACCTAGAAATTTAAAGACGTCGCCACCTTCACTCATCTAAGGATTGCCGTTTCATATACAGGCTGTCGGTATGGATAGCGATGGCAAATCCGGAATTGGAAAGCCAAAGTTCCCATTTATTAATGTGAAATCTGTTTGGAAATCTTCTCCATTCCACTTGAGGTAAGAAATTTGGATTTTCAACACCTATGTTAAGCCACTCAGTTATTTCTTCCATAAGGATCAGAAACTTGACGGGTGTGTGCGTGTGTGCCTCGCGAAAAGTATTTCGAACAGGCTACTGCATACTTTTATCAAGGGTAGCATCATTCTCCGGTAGCACACTGAAGACAATATGGTCTGTCACAGAGAATAATCTCAATCCTGAGACTGAAATTATGCAAACAGAATTTCTGCCATGATCATAATTATTTATCGATTTATTAGTTTGAAGCACATGAGACTGTATGATGAATACAAATATCAGCGTGCCAGTACATATATTTTCTCAGCTCCGTGACATAGCGGTTAGGACGCTTGCCGACCATGCACATGGTCCGGGGTTCGATCCCCGGCCGACGCACTCCTTTACCTCGCTAAGCCGAAAAATAATGCTGGTGAAGAGGAAAGGTTGGGCATGAGGCTAGCAACCACATCCTGTAAACATAAACACTGCTACAGAAACTTCAAGCCACTAGCTTGAAGCCCTATTTTCCATTGGGAACATGAAGGAATAAAAAAAATGTGAGATTGTATGATGAATACAAATATCAACGGGCCAGTACACACATTTTCTCAGCTCTGTGCCCTTGAAATACAAACGCAATCTAATGAAGTGCTTGGTCCAAAGAGCAAGAGAGATTTGCTCGGACGAATGTCTTGGCGAGGAACTTTACAATATTAAACGGTTGCTAAGTGAGAATGGTTATCCTGAAAAGTTTATTGATAAGAATCTGAATCTGAAACCAAAACAGTCCAAGTTACCAACAGTTCCAAAAAGGGCCTTGTTCTCACAGATGCAGTTCCTAGGAGAAAACACCAGTGAGATACTAACACAGCGCCTTAGAGAAGCGGTAAAAAGAGCATTCCATGCTTCTCAATTACGCTGTATCTTTAAAACCACTCCTATTCTGCGTTCGGGAATAAAAGACAAATTGTCTAATTTCCCTCTTCCATGTGTATCTATTATTTTAACTGCTCCTGTGGAGTGAGCCAGTTACATAGGCCGTACAATTAGGCATGTTTCTCGTCGAATTTCCGAACATCACCCTGCCTAGTGGTTAAGCAAAGGACAAACAAAATCTATTCACAGCGCTGTTCTGTCTCATCTTGTGGAGACAGGACACAAGATTGACGTTAATTATGCTCTCAGGGTCATTTGCCGCATACCTGCGAATCTCAATTTTCCCTTAAGAGTTCGACTACTAAATATTGCTGAGGCTGACTGTTGTGACCCATATTTAGAAGCCAAATTGTGCATCCAAAAGAAGTTAGTTCAGACATTATCTTTACCTTGGCCATCTAGGTTTGAATGATCCTGAATTTTGTGGAATTTTCTTAATTTTAGTTGATATTCTATTTGCTACTATATCTTTATTACTATTATAATCTAAGCATCTTTAATGAACTGTAATTCCATTGTGATCTTCCTTTATAAATCGATATTATTTAAAAAACGCTAATATTGTGATTGACTACTATTCTAGAATATTCTATGTATATAAACATGCACATATATGATTGTAGAGCATGGAAGAGGAATTTATCGAAAAAAATGTTCTTTGCTCGATTATTTTGTGTTTTATAAATTTAATCCTTACAAATTAACTCTTCAAAATACCAAAATATTATAGAATGTCTACTCTGAACTTACTGATTTTGTAATTGAATGTGTATACTGTCCCATATCATAACGAATTCTTCCATTATCCCCAAAATCTTCATCAGTAGCTTGAAATTGCGTAATAACATGTCCAACTGCTGCATTCTCCGCGACTTCAATGAATACAGGTTCAGACAATTTAGCCGGTGTCTGGCGTGATCCATTCATTACACGAAATTCGGGCTTACAATCATTTACATCTTGAATGTATATAATAATTGGAAGGGTAGTTGTATGCCTGTTCTCTTCTCGTCTATGCAGATCACTGTTATCATCGATAGCTAACAAGTAAAGATCATATTTGTCTCTTTTTTCACGATCAAGTTTATGCTCCAATTGGATCTCTAAAACTTTGGTATTCAACGTTTCAGTTAATTTTAAACTAAATAAATTGCTTAAATTAACAGGCTTTTCAGAGAGTACACCCTCGTCTTCATTGAAACTTTCACCTGCCTCCAATCGATACGTTATCTCTGAATGCAAGCACATATCTACATCAGTAGCAAGAGGCAGTTGATGCCTTACACCGATTCGATCGTCTTCTGTAAAGCTGACCTCATATTTTGTAAATGGTTTAAAACTTGGATAGTTATCATTTAAATCTAACAATTTTATCCGTATAGTAAATATTTCCATACCAGTATGAAACAGATTTATAGCTAAAGTCATAATAAATTGACAATAAGGTAGTAGTAATAAGGATAATTCACCGGATTCAAATTTCCCTCCACGGTTCAATGTTTCACGGGTTAATAATGGCGTTGATGATGATTTCAATTTTTCACTATAAATCATTGAACAAATATCGCTTGAACACATACATGTATCATAGTGTTTTAGCTGTTGTTGATGTTGTGGTTGTTCTGCGGTTTTATTGAAATCATTCAACTGACATAAACGATCACGATCCAACTTTTTAATTTGTATCAATTCTTGTTTAAATACATTATGATAATTTATATGGAAATATTCTGCACTCCATTGATTCGAAGGGAATAAATGCAAGCGTGGGAGATCAGCATCTGTCATCTGCGTTGATTGATAATGATTTGCGATCAAGTCGATGCTAAGCATTTGTTTAGATTGATTATTTTGTTTATTATTATTAGTATCCATTGGGGATTGACGCGGTTCATTTAAAACATGGCGCAGTAGATACTTGTTTAAATTAAAGTCATTTATTAAATCACCAATCAATTGTGGAACATTCGATTCTTCAGTAATTGTGTAAGTGATTTCTTTGTTGTATTTTATGCTTTGATCATTTTGATTTTTCTCTGAAAGTTTGGCTGGCGAATTGGAAGACTGTGGAGTGGGGAATGCTTTCAGTTTGGATGAGGTGAACACATTGGAGGAGGGTTTCGATGCAGTTCGGGTTATTCCATTTCTGTTGAAACTGGTGAGAATGAAGAGTGTAAGGAGTTTTACAATTTTACATGGTATCATCTATTTCCTGTTTTTTTTCGGAATTTAACTCCACATTATTTATTTATCTTGCCTCCGGCTAAAAAATCAGTCCTGTGTGAATTATCTCTGTTGTAAGAAGGTGAAGTGGATATTTCCCTTCTCCCAAAAACAGAATGACAGTTTTATCCATAGAATAATGGCACGGAAGCAAATCGTTTTATACTTTTGTCTGACATATCCCTATTTAAATGAATAAATAAAAAGAATAGTTAGGTGTGTATTTGATACAAATATGTGGTTATTTCCAATAAGAAACAAATTAATTTATGAACAGGATCATATATTGATCGACTGCTTTGTATCCATTCTGAGATATGGCATCGATTTTTGACAACCAAGAGGTGAATGCCATTGCCCATTGGGTCTAATCAGTGACTCTTCAGCGTTGGAAGTGATGGGTTCTGGGATCAAATCTCGCTGGAAACATAATATCACCGACTGTGGATTGCAAGTACATCCAGATGACGAGTTCCACAATAGGGTGAAGCGAGCCAAGTTTACTAGCTTGCTAGTTTTCAAGACGATCTCAAGCCCGAGTAAAGAGGCTACAGATTGGGGTTGTGGCTAGCAACCCTACCCGGGAAAATCAATTCAGTCACCAAATAAACTTCAAAATACAAGAAAAATATAAAAAAACGAAATCGTTACTCTGTGGAATCTGGGAGGCAGAATGACTCAGGCCGGTGAGATGTTCCGGGAAGCCAGTCACACACTGTGCGACTTGTTTCGATAAAATCAAAAATAAGAATGGGGATGTGGAATGCCCGTACAGTGTACGAAACTAGGAAGACTAGCAAATGAATAAGGAAAGGAGTCCTGAAAGTGCAAAGGTCTGTGAGAGCAGATAGAATAGATGTGGACTATCGAAATTGTCAACTGGTGAGTCAGTAATGTAGTCCGTTCAACCAGACGACAACCACAAGCACATTCAGGGAGTGTAAATCATGTTTTCACTAGTGGCAGCCGAAGTTACAGTGAAACCAATATCCCCTAAAATAACAACAGAAAGATTCAACGCTAAGGGAGTGAAGGCTACAATTATTCGGTGCTATGTGCCTATAGACAACTCAGAACTAGAGAAGAATGAAGAATTCTATGAATAACGTCTCGGTTGGCGAAATCGACATTCTAATGGGTAGCGGACAGTATAGAGACAGCCCACCATGGGCTGAGTGGCTCTCGCTGAAATTAATAATAACGTAGAACGCTTGGAGGCGACGTTTGCAAGCACAAGGATAAACACAAGTCAATATGTGTTTCACCTAACGGACACACTGGAAACCAAATAGACTACATCTCAGTCTTGAGAAAGTGGATGAGCAGCCTCCTTGACACAAAGTATAATGCATTCGCATAATACATTCTAAGGTTGTCTGACTGTTTATAGTCTAATTGGAGCCACTGTTCATCATTGTGCTAATTCACGGAGTCAGAAAAGCACATAAGTGGCAATAAACAAAAATGTCAGGCATGTTCCTATGTAATGAAGTTTTTGTTTTTAACTGGATCGCTGAGGCATGTTCAATGAACGAACGAATCATGTTTGACCACATAAAATCGGTTTAAGCAATTTCATACTACTCAAAAATGTCTCTGTACATATGAATTTAAGAGCATTGTTGAAATCAGCCTTACAATCGGTCTTTATGACTTGATTTACGACAGAAACCATTTGGCATTTATCTTTTTAGGATCAAGTGAGTTATTCGATGCCATTCGCCTTTGTAGCTACTTGATAAGTCGCTCGAAATAACTCTAATCTTCAGAAGCAAAAACCGTCGTCGTTAACCAAACTTGGTTAAAATATACAGAGACAGGAGGTGAGGTCAAAACTAGAAAGCTCAAACTGCAATTTAATCAGGTTGCAGCTGCCAAAAGTGACTCTACGTGTTCTGAACGGAAGAAAGAGATATCTGCATGCTACTCTATAGCTGCCTAAAACATCCTTGAGACATACACCCACACAGTCAGGAAACGCTTCAAAGTCAGGCAAAATTTGAGTATTCTCCAATAAGTTGGCGGTTCTATTAAAACAATCATACGGTTAAAAAGTCAAAATTACCCCAACAGTGCAGCTAGGCATCTGAACGATTCAGTCTCTTTACAAATCGATTACTTATTACCAAGGAGAATATTACCAATAAGGCAGGATTGAAAACTCTATCGACAGTAGTAAAACACCAATGCTACCCACAAAACATGTACTCACAACCACAAAGAGAAGCATTGAAATTGCAGATTGAACACGAACAAAGACAGATGATAAGAATCAAATCAATATGTGATATTCAAATGTCAAATTAGCGATATAAATTCCAGGAGAGAAACGGACAATAATCACACATTTAGTCGAAACATCTAAATATGCATGAATGTTGTGGCTAAATTTTTCATGAGAGAGTCTCCAAACAAGTTCTTCGTTAAACAGGTTACTCTAAGCTTTGTGAATCTTATTTCCATGGTCTGTGTTTCCGGATTCATGTACTATTTCTTAGTAACAACATTATCAGTGGCCAGTAATCAGCAGAATATCCATCAGTCTGTTCTAAATTTAGTGCATATCTGTCAAGCTGGTTAGGTAACTAACCACATCTAAGACATGGATTGTGCCTGTTAAACAGAGGAACAAGAGTAAGCATGTTTCCTTATTAAAAAAGCATCCTAAGTGATAAAGGATAATAAATAAGAGAGTAAGCGAAATCAATAAACGGCAAGATTTACCCCAATGACCAATCAATAAAACAATATTTCTCTCTAGAGTAATATAATGCTTCGTAAGTCTTTTAATACTCGAATGCTTTGGTTTTGTACGGATTTTGAATCATCCCAGAGGGAATTTCGTTGCAGAAGGTCATCAGTTAGGGAATCCTTTATAGCCAAAGATCATTAGGAAGCCGTTTCATGGCACTGTGGAACTCATTGCCACATCAGTCATAGAATCTCGGGCTCCAGTGTGGCTGCTGGGTGACGTTGCGCGTCAGGCCATTGCTCGAGTGGAACCCGAAAGGAAAGCGGCGAGTGGGACGTCCAAGGGTGATATGGAGGAGATCGTGTGAAGAGGAGTTGAAACAGTATGGAATGACATGGACGCAGGTGAAAAGTACAGCAGAAGACAGAAGCAAGTGGAGACGTGCAGTTGAAGACCTTTGTTCCACTAGGAACCCCTAGGGAACAATAATAATATAATAATAGTGTGGTAATGAATTGGTCCTTCCAAATAGTCTTAAACTAGAATAAAATAGTTGTCCAATACTTTGCAGTTTACAAGGATTCTCTGGCTGATATCGATTAGTCAAGTTATCTACGGCGAACTTTTTTTCCTTTAAACAATAGGTAAGACTTATATTTAACATTCTGTACTTATCTTTAAACTACAAACATCGTAACATTAACTGATGACGTTTCGACCACAAATTATTGCTCATAATCATATCAAGTCACTCACAAAACGTTTAAGTTCATTTATTGCTCCAAATACATTTATTCCTACTCCAAAAATATGGTGGAGATACGTGAATGACACTTTCATAGTGTTGAAAAAAGAACATATCTCCAGCTTCTTGACACATATAAAGTCACCAGTAGAGGGAATAAAATTCATATTTGAATCAGAAAATGAACAAGGTGAATTAGCTATGACGTTGGATTGCAAAATAAAACGAACAGAAGAAGGTAAACTGCACACTAGCAGCGTTTAAAAAAGCCAACGCATTCTAATAGATATTTAGACTTTATTTCTTCTCATCTGTTATCTATCTGTGAAGGCGGGCTTAGTTAAGAGTCTGAAAAACCGAGCAATAACTCTACTAAGTAGTATACCAAAAAAATCTAAATGATGAAATGAGAAAGATAGAAGAAGCATTGGTGTTAAACGACTGACTACCTAATACAGTTCATTAGGAATATCTAAAAAGGTTAGAAGCAAAACAAAAATAATTGTGAAATTAATAATGAAAACTCGAATAAGAGAGAATATAAGGTATCTACCGTGGTTTAACGTATAAGGAGGGGACATATGAGACCTAACGTAGGATTCTCAATAAAGCAGGAATTCGGGTGGCATTCAAACCTACAAACTCACTTAGAGACAAGCTATGTAGGTAAAAACCCGGTGACTCTATTAAACAGATTAATGTAGATCGGGGGTATTCAGATTGTCAGAACATAAGAATTCAGCTAAGGTTAGAATGACTGACCTCACGAAGATGAGTAATTTAGAGAAAACTCGGCAATCGCACTGCATGCATAAACACACAACCACACAATAGGGTGGGATAGAGTCAAAATTCTAAAAAGCAATATAGGTATATGGAACAGAAATGTAAATGCAACAGAAAAGGCTCAATGGAAATACCAGAGATATGGTAGATATTATCACCAGTCAAATCAGAGGAGGATAATAAATAATCTTAAAATTCTATTTCAATTCAAGCACATCACAACATTCTAACAAGTTATTTATTTTGACTATAAAAACACTCGTCTTATTTCCCATCTGATTGTAATTGATCAATAACACTCATATTATTATTTCTGAATGTACATTATCCCATATTGATTTTTATTCAAATGTCTAATCATCAATTCCACTCATGTATATAAATGAAGGGAAAAGTTGTGTGATTAGGGACTTGATATGATTATGAGTGGCAACAATAAATTGTGCTCGAAAGATGGTCATCAGTTAATATTACTGTATAACACTGTGTGATTTATCAAAATGAAATCTTATCCATAATGGAGTTATACTCTACCACCACAGTGCTCACGTTTTTATACTTATCTCAATACAAATAACGTAATCGAATACAACCTTGGCGATATCACAAACTTTCATAGATTACTGTCAATTGTGGCCTTAAGAGAAGGAATACTAACAGAATGCTACTCAGTGTGTTGTGACTGGACATGAAATCCAGCAGGATGGGAATTACATCCATCCTATTTGATACAAGTCAGCCGGATGATGCATTTGTGAG